TAGGGCTTAATTAGCTGATTAGAGTAGGACACTTTGAGCCTAGAATATTGAACCTTTTCACAATATTCTAATTTTCTGAGATGGTGAATTTGGGGTTTTCATGAGCTGTAAACCATAATCATAACAATTATGACAAGTCAGGGCTTGAACTATCTTGCTTTGCATGTAATGACTATATCATATATTAGTTTCACCTTTTAAGTTGCATTACTGAAATAAATGAACTTTTGCATGATATTCTAATTTTTTGAGTTTCACCTGTATATTCAGGGAAACTTTACAATATCTGACTGGTTTCAAACCAGAAAGCAGTCAGGAACTAACCCTAACCTTTCTGCAAGTTGAAATAACAACTAAAATTAGGTCAGTTATCTTAAAATAAATAATTACCCATGTAGTGTCATGAGACACTACAGATTAAGAAAGTACTTCAAATTCTGCTACAGGAACCTACTTTGTTACTTTGTACAAAAACAGCTACATATTTCTGTGTTTTCACATGGCAAAGTAACTATACATCGCTACTTTGCTATGTGAAAGCAAACTCTACATAAAAGCATAAAACACAGAAATGGTTTGGTCATTTGGAAACATTTTCAACTTGAAACTGTTTCAGTCCCAAGACACTTCCAAATAGCCTGCCTGAATTTGAAATGATGTACAGAGTCTTAAACCTGATTTATCTTCTAACCGTCCCTTATTCCATATTTATAAATCGCAGTTTAATTGCATATCTGTTATACTCCGCAAAGTCAATTTGGATTTTTTTTAACATGCCAGAAATGAACATATCCATGTCAGCTCATTGATTTTGCTTTTTCCTCCCCAGGTTTTTGTATTTGGACTAAACTGCAGTAATTGTCTGGGAACTGGAGATAATCAGAGTACAATTGTACCAAAAAAACTTGAAGGTTTATGCGGAAAGAGGATCTGCAGTCTTAGCTATGGAAGTGGGCCGCATGTGATCCTTAGTACAGAAGGTGGGAAACTTTTTCTGAGCAGTATTAGAGGCACAAATCTAAGCACGTGATTCTTAGTTAGGGGGAGCATGCAAAAATGGTTGTAGTGAGAGAGTCTGCTTCTGTCAGTGGCCCATCATCTTGATGTGAATTGCATTTGCCACTTTTCTTCCCCCACAATAGGTTGGACAGGTTTTTTTGCAGCCATGGACTGCATTTTTTTTTGGATGTGTTTCTATCAGTGACTGAGGGTCATGGGGTGGTGGTGACATAATTATATCTTTACAGGAGATAGAAATTGAATGTTCATTCCTTTTTAATTTTTAAATATGATATATGGTGAAACAACATTCCTTGTGTCAACCAGTATTTAGAAGTTAGGTTTTTAAAACTTAAGTAAGTGCATGTTTAAAGCCTGTTGGAAGTTTAGTTTGCAATCATGCTGGATAACATGCTCATTTATGTTCCTTTAGTTGATTGATAAATTATATCCCATTAAGTTGCTGTCAAGTCTTTTCAACCAATAGATAGATTTTCTGCAAGACAGTTTGTCCCACACCTAGCTCCAGATTTTCCAACCATGCAGATGTTGTTGTAATTGAGTTCAACCATCCATCTTGCTTCTGGTCATCCTCTTTCTTCTTTCTTTCCATTTTCCCCAGCATCATAAACTTCTGAAGAGTGTCAGATCTTTGGATAATGAAGTTCCTTAGTTAAAATAATTGTAATGTTTAACATGGATAAATGTATGTGATAAGCTTTAAAGATGAAGAGTATATTGCTCATTTACATTCTTCACACTACAGAAAGAATGTGTGCATTTAATTTTAACTAATTGCTCTTTAACTTTTTCCCAGTCAAGTAATGCCAATTCATTCAAGTTCTTCAGTACCACTGCATTATCCTCCCACAAGACAAGTCATTAGACAAATGATCATAATAATCATAATAAGTAGATAAAAAAGCAAACCCAATCTACACAACTGACTAGCTATGTGACCAAGCATAATAATAGTGCTTATTAAAATGTAATCTTGTTTTGTCTGATTATGTATTCAAATGTTGAATAATTGCATGTTTCATCCTCATTTTGTTTATTCTTGGGTAGATGGTGAAGTTTATGCCTGGGGACATAATGGATATAGTCAGCTTGGGAATGGGACAACCAACCAGGGTGTGACGCCTATTCAGATTTCTACTAATTTACTCACTAAGAAAGTAACCGAAGTAGCTTGTGGTTCCCACCATTCTCTCGCATTATCATCTGAAGGAGATGTAAGTTCTGCTTTTCTAACTAGCTATTCAGTTTTTTTGCTGTTAAGAATATAGTTTTGGTTTGAAAATTGTCTTTGAAGAAAGGGTATTAATACTACCATTAATCTGTGTTTTTTAGTGAAATATCTCAGATGTTATTTTAATAAAAGTTCTTATCTTTATACAGGAAATAAGCTACTCTCGGCAATCTGTTTTCATGCAAGTTTATATTTTGTACAAGTATTTGGTAGCAGCAATAAAAAACAAGATTTCATGCGTAAAAATAAAGGTTGAATGGGCTTCATTGATTTGGTGCCCAGTGAGACAGTGACCTATTTTCTTTTAATCTAGTAGGAGGCTTTCTGATTCAAAAATAAAATTTGGAATAATGGTGGTTGAATTTCCCCCTTGCTTGGAAAATTATAAGTGCTGAAATTTCTAATTTTTTCAACTGGATAGAATAAAATTTATAGATATACTATACCTGTTTTAGTAAGAAGAGGACCAGTTTCAGAAAAAATGTATGCAGAAAGTTGAAACTTGGCTCCTTTAAATTGTGTAGGCACATGTTTAAGGAAAGTGTCTGACTCTGGGATAACATTTGGAGGCAATGTGGTCTCTTCTGTGAGATTGAGCCTGTTTAATTTCATATCTGACAGGTACTAGAGTTTATTTGTTTTGCATGACGGGGATAATGTTCCATTTCAAGTCTTGAAAGTTTACAGTTAGTTTTGAAGTTAGTTTTAGTTTATCAGATATAAACCTTTGAAATTTGCCTACTATGAAAAGTGCTATAACCTTTGGAGATAGTTTTGGACATGTAGATCCTGTTGCTAGTTTACCTTTTATCATTGTACATGAGTTGAAGGCTGTTTGCTCTTACTTACTTACTTACTTACTTACTTACTTACTTTCTTCCTCATGCATCGTAGTGGCGTAGCATTCTTTCTCCTCCTCTAGTATTGAGGATTGGGCCACCTAACAGTAATGAGCACACATGGTCAGGCTTGCATGGTCAGATTTTTTTCTTAAAGGAAGAATTAGGAAGAAGAGAGAGAGAGAGAGAGAGAGAGAGAGCCCTCATGTTGCTGTAGGCATACTTGGGGCTTTCTTTAAGGTAGAATACAGTTCTCTTTCTTTCCCTTCACTTCTATGTGACTTTTGTTTTCTTTTGAAAAATTTAGAAAAGACTTGTTGGATAGAAGGCAACCCACCTCTAATGCATGGGCCCTACTTTAGAATGAAAAGAAATCAGGAAAAACCAGAGGAGAAAGATTGTGTTGTCCATCCTCTACCAGTGAATGCTGAATGCTGGAAGCTGAGAAAAATGCAGTCTGATACTGGAGGAAGGCAAACAATTTAAAGCTGATAGCTGCCTTTTCCTTTATCCAGTGAATCTGGGCCATTCCTTCATTCAGGGATGAACATTACATTTAACTTGTAAAACAGTATTTAAACTGTGTCTGTCTTTGGGGGGGGGAGTAATAACAGGGATTCCAAATGGGATCCCACTTGACTGGGTCCCTGCTCAAAGTTCCTGCAGAAAAAATGTTCGCTTTCTAACTTAAGGTTTGCTGGATGCTACAAGGTAAAATCCACACTTTCATTAGCTTTCATTCAGTGTTAGAAGAAACTCCCATATCAATGGCTTTGTGTTGCCAGTAATTAGAAGTTAATCACATCAGTATTTTGAAGTATATCATAAATGCCCATGCTACTTGTCTGTGGCTTGTAAAGTGAGTTACTGGTTCCACCACAAAACCGCGGACGACAAAATCGCGCTCGACGAAAGCGCATACGTGACGTCATCACAGCACGACGAAAACATCGCGCTGTGATCGATAAATGTAAAAATAAAGCGAAAACCTTACCCTAACCCCCCCAAACTAACCCTAACCCTAACCCTAAACCTAACCCTTAACCTAACCCTAAATCTAACCCTAAACCTAACCCTTAACCTAACGCTAAACCTAACGCTAACCCTTAACCTAACACTAAACGTAACCCTAACGCTCTAAACCTAACCCTAACCCTTAACCTAACCCTAACCCTAACCCTAACCCTAACCCTAACCCTTACCTTTATGTGAATCGGCTTGCTTTAATTTTATTTTTATTTCAATTTTTAATTTTTTTCGTCGCGCTGTGATGACGTCAAATGCGCGCTTTCGTCGATCGCGCTTTTGTGGACCGCGGTTTTGATGGGTCACGGAGTTACTTTGGTACCTGTATTGTTAAACAGTATATGCTTTGGGGAAATGTTTCTGCTCACCTATTAAGGTTTGTATTTCTCCCTCTTTGTTCTTTGTTAAAAGGTATATGCCTGGGGCTATAACAACTGTGGACAAGTCGGGTCAGGATCAACTGCAAACCAGCCAACTCCTCGCAAAGTCTCCAGTTGTTTACAGGCTAAGGTAGCAGTCAGCATTGCCTGCGGTCAAACTTCTTCCGTTGTAGTCATAGATAATGGGGAGGTAAGCATCTGGTGGCCTTCCACATTTGCCTCTGATTCTGCAAACAGAAGTGTTAAAGTATTTCATTGAAAACATACAACAAAGTGCTGTTTAATTATTGGGATTTAAAAAAACAAAAACAAAACTCATTTACTTGTTATGCAGGTCAATATTACATTTTACTTTCTTGCACAAGGATGTTTTCTTCACTGACTAGAGCCTATTTCTGAAGAGAATTCTGGAGGATTTTCTGTTGGTAGAGAAAATGGCATTTATTGGTAAAGTGGGGAGCAATTTTCAGTCAGTTTCCTTCCCTTGCACTTTTAAAAATTCTCTGGAGGATATGAACTAGCACAGAATCTGTAAAGTTGCCAAACCTTGCAAAATTTTCAAATTAAATTTGGAAAAATGCTTAACAAGGGTATATATTTCAAATCAAGTACAAAGGATTGCTTCAAAAATTATGATAAGTTTTAAAGCATCAAGTGTCTATCTCTGTTCAGTGAGAAAATCTGTCTCAAAGCCTTGAATTTCAGCTAATTGTGTGAGAAGGTGTACATTTGAAGTGAGCCCCAAAATAAAATAAAAAGTGTGATGTGAGGAGATGAAGCAAGGAGCTGCAGAATGAAGACAGACCTTGCTCTTGCTCTCGAGACTGGCTTAATTCAAAGGAAGAGTTACCTTTTTGTTCTCTTTAAACATATGGCCAATTAAAATAGATTCAGAAGTAAATCTGAGCAATTTAGAGAAATTCTCTGAAATTCTGCAGTATCAGTGATATCTGGGAAAAGATAGCAGTTATAGTAATAGCAGTTAGACTTATATACCGCTTCATAGGGCTTTCAGCCCTCTCTAAGCGGTTTACAGAGTCAGCATATCGCCTCCACAGTCTGGGTCCTCNATGACTAAATGCCGAAAGCGTACGGAACGCTGTTACCTTCCCACCAAAGGTGGTTCCTATTTTTCTACTTGCATTTTTACATGCTTTTGAACTGCTAGGTTGGCAGAAGCTGGGACAAGTAACTCACTCACTCCATTACATGGTGCTAGGGGTTTGAACTACCAAACTGCTGATCTTTCTGATTGACAAGTTCAGCGTCTTAGCCACTGAGTCATCACATCCCTAATATATATGTAATGGAGTGAATGAGTTACTTGTCCCAGCTTCTGCCAACCTAGCAGTTCAAAAGCATGTAAAAATACACACATACACACACATACACACACACACACACATGAAGCAGCAGAACAACATAGAGGCAGAAACAAAATTAATCACTGTAATTTGAAGAAGGGGGGGGGGGGAGAGAAACTATTATTTACACAAGGCAGCCAGAAAGTTCTCAACTCTCAACGTAATATCAACCAAGCCTTTTAAGAAAACGTTTTATAAGTAGTACAGCAACCATTGAAAATGTCTTTCCAGCATCTTCAAGTGAAAGGAAAATCTGATTAAGCAAGTGAGGAGGCAATGGAGATAGGTAGCTTTTGCATAGTTGCTCCCAGATGCCCAAAGTTCAGGGCATATTTGCTGTCAACAGCGCTGGGTTAATGGGCTAGCAAAAATCTGTTTCTTTCCACTCCAATCTGTGGGTATGCCCTACAATTAAAATAGAGCCACCTGTGAAATATTAATATGAAGCTCTCCTAAGCAGAATATGCTTATTCAGGACAACTTTTTAAATCATCTATCCTACATACGCCAATCAAATGTGGTTTATTCAACAAGCCACGATTCAAACAACTAGGTTTTTTTCAGTGCATTGTGAGAAACTAGAGTAGTTTTTTTCTCTAAAATGAGTTCTATTATAGAAATGCTTCTTTTGACTTTGTAGACCTGTTGCATTATTTTTCTTCGATCAGAGCAGAAATAAGTGAAAAGGCAAACGATTTGAACGCAGCTGTTGCCTCTCCGCCGTCGGTTCGCCCATCCCGCAAAATGATTTCTCTCATGGGAAAACCGGGGCGGATCGGGGGGTGGGGGAATGAGAGTGCTATCAGATCTGGACTGCAAAACTCCAGGCAACCACTAGATGGCAGTGTTGTAAAGAGATAAGAAAACCTTCATGATTTTTGGCCAGCTGGCGCTGTCCGCAACATTACAGCCCAGATTTACTAGACAACCTACTTTGCTTTTTAAAAAAAGAATCAGGAAAACTAAAAGCACGAAAATAGATGTTTCTGCCTAGTCTTTCTCTAGCTTCACCAGAGCGAATCAGAAGAGAGAATGCAGAAAAACGCGCAAGAAAAGACGCAAGCATTATCAATCTCACGCATTGCGCATGCGCTCGTGGTGGGTCAGTGCCTTTGCTTCTCCGCTTCCTGCTAGCCCCAGGGCGGCTCGGCAGAGTCCGCGCTTGCAAAACCTGCAACAGGTGTGGAGAGGCGTGAGCGGGGCTCCGCTCCTGATTTAAAGGAGGCGCCGAAGGAGTCTCCGCCCTCTTCTTCTCTTCACGCCTAGCGAAGCCGCTCCCTGCTATTGGGCCGCCCTGCGCTGAGCTGGTTCCGACGATTTCCTTGTCTTGCCAGCAACTGGGAAGTGGGGGGGCTGCTCTTGAGAAGGACTGGCAGCTGCCCCTCTTTTTCTTCGGCGACTTCCTGCAGAAAGACCAGGTTGGCCTCTTTTCTCCTATCTTGTTACGCATGTAAGTGGAGGAATAACGGGAGCGTCTGGCTCTTGCGTATAGAGGGGAAAGAGCGGAGGGAGGAGGGAGGATTCGATGGCTGCAGTTTGGAAAATACACAGCACACGTCTCGGTCTCTTCCGGGTTGGCTCGAGTCTTCGGGGAGGGGTGGACAATCGGGAGGTCCGGGACACGGACACCAGCTGGGTTTTCTTAAGAAACAAACCTCTCAAGATTTCGTTCTCAAACCCAGGCTCTACACAAAAGACCCAGATTATCCCCCTCCTCTTCCCACAATAAACCAGTTTTGAACTACATTATTTTTACCTATTTAATACGTACCACATAATGTAAGTATAGAACAACTTGCATTTTTAAAGTAAAAAAAACTCAAACCCTAGAAACCCAGACAGACATTGAAAAACTCAGATCTGAGTTTAAAAACCCAGCATTGGCAACGTTAATCGGGAGCCACGAACTGCGAATTGGGGTGCCTTCCCAGAGAATAGAACGTCTGTGAACCTCTCCCAACTGAGAAAAAATAGCATCGTGGTTAATAGCTTGCTCAGAAAGCTAGGAAATAATATATATTTGTTCTTATCATACATTTCCTGGACTTGCTTTCCTGTATAACCAAGCAAAATATACTGGGAGATGTGAGTTACTGAATGAGAAATACACTTCTCATCTTCTAAGCAGAAGCCTTACTTGTTATAAAACAGCAACTTTTTGAAGGAGAAAAAAAATCCTGCCAGGTTTTTTGTTGATGTCCTGATGCATTTGTGCATCCTGAGTTCTGAGCATTTCTTACTTCATGCCTCCAAATATTTAAATGAGACTTAAGCTTTCCCAATTGTTTAATATGCTGATGTTTTATTGTTATTCTGCACAATATTTGTAGATTGTGAATGTGCTGATAAATTATTTCTGACTGTGCCATGTTAAGCATTCAGAAACCTAATTGTACTGATCCTCTATTTCTGTTACGTCTACCTTTTTAATATTCATATTGTATATCTATTTTCTTTAATGTTTTTGTAATAGGTTTATTGTGACTTATATTAGCACTTAAGATGCTGGAAAGATTCAATAGTGTTAGAGTTTTATCTAGGACTGTAATACTTTTTAAAATGTAGCTTGAAGAAATGCTGGTACCAAGAAGCTATAACTGTGAATGATGCATTGATAGTTGCAAGGTCCTGATTTCCTGCAAGTGATATGAGCAACATTGCTCTTTTTTTCAGATTTTACATACATGCAGCAAATGCAAGGAACAAAATTAAGCCTCAAAATAAATGGGGGGAAAATAAATTAGTTCAAGATTAATATTAGGGGCACTACAGGGGTGCTTTCTCTGAGAGAGGGGCATTGTTAATAATAGCTTTTTGTAATTACAGAAGGGTGATAATGTAAGTTGGGCAAGAAATCATCAGATCAGATAAAATGACCTAATTTAGAAATTCCCCCTTATCAAACCCCACTTCTTCCACCTATTGGGAAAAAGATTGTAAAACGATTTGTTTTTGTTAAAAATCTTGGTGCTGTGAAAGAATCCCTGGCATTTTTTGCAGGGGCAGGCAGAAAAATCATGTATGCTGCTTATCAAAATGAATGTCCTAATTTGTATTACTTGTAATCTCACATGTACTTTTTGACAAATTCATTAAGGTTTCATACGTAGCACTGCAACACTTTGTCCTGGCAAAATTTGTTTGTTATAATCCGTTTCCTTCTGTGAGTCGGCTTCAATGAACTTCCGGCAAGGCAGGCTGTGTGACTGCTTATCTTCTAGTTTAGATCAAAATGCTTCAGGAGATGAAGTTAAACACAAGGGAGGTGCCAAGTCAGTAGGATCTGGGTAGAGAATACAGTTCTTACGTTTACCCAAACAGAATCAAAATTTGGCTCTTGTTTCAGAATTTTTGCCTGACAGCGAGTTTCATGCACTATTCTACCACATCCACTTTTTTCCGCTAGCTTATACATTTTCCCCACCAAATGGCGATAGATTTAGAGTCATAGATATTGATGATTAATTGACAGTTATCTTTGTGAATTTATGTACGTATGTACTGTAATACAAGGATATTGCACCAATTGATGCAAAATGTGGTAGGCAAAAACTTTTCAGACATGAGACTTTAATGATGAGCAAAAAAGAAACAAGAAGTTATTTACACATTTATTTTAATTATTTCCCCCTCCCTCTTTGGACCATCTTGTCTAATAACATTTCGGGCAGCCCTAAGATCATCATGACACCCATGAAAGACTCCACCACAGAAATGGACTTTATTCATACTTGAATAAGAATGGATTCTCTTTTTCCCCAGAGAATACTGTGAAACCATTTCAAATGACAGATAAAATAACATTCATAACTCCAGCAAAGTTATAATGGAGGTTGGGAAGTGGCCTATATTTACATTGCTTTCACCTCAAGAAATGGCAACTATTCGAAAAGCATGTGTATTCGGAACATCTGCCAACGAAGCTATATATATCACCCACAGCGATGAGGTAAGATTATAGTACTTACATGGGTGTGTTCACTTTCTCTGTCTGTACCATTGTTGGATATCTAGTGGGTAATATAAAAATGGCAAGCTTTTGTTTTAAGATTGCAATAGCATACATGTACAATTAATCAGTATTTAAAACATAATTCATTGGCATCCTTCAGTCTCAAAAGACTATGGCATCATGCTTTGGAAAGAGGCCCCAACGCAGCATCTGATGTGGCTAAAAAGTCCAATTCGGGAGTGTCAATCCCTTCCACACTGAGGGCAGATACATTCTGTCCCCTGCCCAGACCCCAGATTTCGCTGGTTCCGGGGCTGTCTCTTTGCCTCAGCCTGCCGAACAGGTGTCTCTTCGAATTGGAGAAGGCCATGCTGCGTCTTTAGCCTCCAAGTTGAATGATCAGAGGTCAAGGTTTCCCAGCTGTTAATGTCCATTCCCAAGGCCTTTAGGTCCCTCTTACAGATATCCTTATATCGCAGCTGTGGTCTCCCTGTGGGGAGCTTTCCCTGCTCCGACCATCAGCCACTCTCACGACATGTCCAAGCCAGCGTAGATGCCATAACATAAAACTCAGTTTAAAGAAGATGAATTTTGTAGTTTCTTCATTACAGCTAAAATTAATATTTGTAACCCACTGAAAAATAAAACTGAGCATAGAGTACTTTCCACTACGCAAATATGAAAACAGAAAACAAGATTTTATAAAATAGGTAACCATAAGTAGGACTCACTTCCTACTTTACTTTGGTTCACTTTCAAATATCCTGCATACAATTACCGAACACATATTTTGTAACCCCAAAATAAAACCCTACCCCCCCCCCAAGGCTGTATCATATCTCAATGGAGGGCTTCATCAGGAAGTACATAACAGAACTCCATTCTGAATCTGAAGCCAAGGGCAATCCGTGCAATGAATTCCTCTCATGAAGTCCAGTCCAGATTATTGCTCTTTCATTGCTGCACATCTCCATTTCACTTTTTTTTTTTTAGAATGTACTGTACTGGGACATATCAAGACAAAATTGGGGTTAAGAAAGTTGCTCTGTGATTTTTATTTTAGGATTTCTTGTCTGTTTACTTTACTTGCATAGAGGTTCAGTGCCTTGGATCTGCAAATGGTCCAATACATTAACATTTGTAAATTAATCTGATGCCTTCTATCTCTGATCGATGGGATATCCAAGAACCGATTTCCTCCCTTTCAATTCAGCAGAAATCCACAGGGTGAAACTGCTCTGTTCTGGGATGGGATTAAAAGACACTTGGAGTTGAGTTGCTTACTGCAAAAATCCTAAAGNTCAACCCTGAGCCGATGAGATTTGAACAGCCGAACTGCAGAACTGCAGTCAGCTGAAGTAGCCTGCAGTGCTGCATTTAACCACTGCGCCATCTCAGCTCGTCAAGATGGCTAGTTTTCAGTCTGTGAGACCTTTTGACTTATATTTCTTATCATTCTTTATAGTTTTATTATCCAAAGATCCCAGGGCTGTTTTCCAAGTAGTAGGCCTTGCTTATTTCAATATCCATTTAAGGAGTGTTGGTACCGGATCTAGGATTCAGTGACAATAAGCTCAAACTTGTGTGAATGCCAACAGGTTTTACTGGAATAAACTACAGAGTTACAGATGAGAAGGAAGTAGACCAGTTTGTGTTCCTTCAATTGGTCAGAAACTTCCAGAGTGATAAGGGGACAAATTTCCTGGAACTGGCTGCAAGCTACATAACATCTTCCTACGTCATAACTTAGCCAGCTGACTAACTAAGTATCTACTAACTAAGATACTTTATGTAAGGCATTGTCACTAGACTACAATACCTAGAGGCAGCCCAATGACATTTCTTGTCAATAGCAGTTAGTCTTCTTTCCAGCTATCTTAAGTGAAGTATTGTCCCTTTTGCAGTGTTGAACTAGGGAGTTCATGCTAATTCTCTTTATCTTCATTGTTATTGTAATGATACAGATAAAAAGCTCAAAAACGGGGTGATTGTATAAAAAGTGCAGTCACTTCTGCAGTACAGTAACCTTGTATAAGGATAGGTGTGGAAAGCTGTCTTATATGTGCAAATAGAAAGCAGATTATACTATTATACCCGTTGACCTTATCTTCCACAATGGAGAGTAGCATTGATCCAATCCTTCTGTTTCATAGGAAATCCAGACTTCTACACCATCCAAAAATAATCTGTAAACTATGGAAAAATTTTCTATCTCTGTAAAAAAATTAAGATTTCTCCTCTAAAATAATAAAGTATATTTATGAACGTAGGGAATGAGAAAGGAAATAGTACAAGACTTTGTTTTAAAATAAGGTTTCTTTCAGTGCATTCTATTTCAAAGTTTTTGAACATCTGCTAGTTTAGCACTTCTATTCTCCCAGAACAGGGACTTTTTGGGTAGAAATAAAGTACATGATTAATTAACCTCCTCCTCACCCCAGGTCTATGGCTGGGGTTACAATGGCAATGGACAACTTGGTCTGGGAAATAATGGCAATCAGTTAACTCCATGCAGAGTGGCAGCACTTCAAGGTGTTTGTGTAATGCAGGTGAGTATAGAGGTCTATGTTTTCTGTTGCTTGAATGATTGTTGGGAAATTGTCCCTAATCTTGGGAAGATTCTTTGTGAATGTGATAAGGGGAGTGTAACTTCTACTTCACTCATCTCTTCCAATATTGATTTTTAAATAAGTGGATAGAAAGTTATGCACGTTGAACGTTTTGCTTTTGAACCGTGAAGACAGCTGCGTTCTTAGATGTTCTTGGAGAATGACCTTGGGATATTTAAAGCAAATGAAATGAAAAGTTTCCTGAAAGCTTGAGAAAAATCAGGTGTAGACAAATCAGTTTTAGTCCCTTGGCCTTTATCTTTTGCCCTTCATACTCCATTAGCAATCTTGTCCTTCTCTTCAGTACATTATGGATGGCTCTGATGGATTTCTACAGCTTAAGTATGCATTTGTGGACAAGAATGAGAGGCAGCAGAAGTGGTGATACCATAGATTGGTCTATGCTGTTCCCTGGCAGAGTAATTGCTGTTCAAGGCATTTGGAATCTGCATAATATACAACATGTAGTATCTGAAGTGCAAAGTCAGAGCTGTGGTATTGGCATTCAGTGTATACATTCTTAAATATTCTATATTTCAGCTTTTCCAGCATGTTTGATTGTCTTGGCTTCAGTAACAGCAGGCACTAGCAGGAACAATTAAGAGTACAGGTTGTCCTTGACTTACAACCACAACTGAGCCAGGAATTCTGGTTGTAAGTCATTGCAGTTGTAAGTTGAGTTACAAGCTACTGCATCACATAGTCATAAGTTTGAATCCAGCTTATCCAATGTCACCTTTGCTAGAAAACAACAAAAAATGTTGCAAAATGTGGTCACATAGCAATAGCAATAGCAGTTAGACTTATATACCGCTTTCAGCCCTCTCTAAGCGGTTTACAGAGTCAGCATATT